GCAGGAATCCTCCTCTGGGCTGGGGTATGGGATCTGGGGTTCCCTCTGCTCCCCAGTGGTGATCTTGGATCTGGGTGGGTGTGTTGTTTGCAAGCCCTTGCCAAAGGGCAGCTTGGGGCTCCCTCCCACACTTGTGCACGTGTTTCTTCCTGCAGATGGAAAGCCTATTTCAACGGATGTGATTGTTCTGGGCCGGACAAACCTCCTCATTCCTTCCAGCCAGCCGCACCACTCAGGGGTGTATGTTTGCCGTGCTAACAAACCCCAGACCAGGCAATTTGTTACAGCCGCAGCTGAGCTCCGGGTCCTCGGTGAGTAGAGAGCAGGATAAACACCCCACAGTTACCCGGCCAACGTTTCTACCTGCATTACCCGGATCGACACCCGGAAGCTCGACGAGAAGTTGTGTGCGTGGTGCATGCTGGATCAGAAGAGGGAGCATGGTTGGAGCCAGGAGGGCCTGGGTTGGGATAGCTCTCAGTGGGAGTGTCACCCCTTTTATTTGGGGTTTAGTTCCTTGTATTTACTGAACCTTTTTATTCCTTATTCTTGTTCTCCCAGGTTCCCTCATGAAAATCTGTATCAGCAATTAACTTTCAGCACTGTGGAAGCCATAAGGGAGAACAGCCTAGGATCAGGGAATGTAGCACATGGTTGATACAGAATTTATTTTTCCTTTTGGACAGAGTCTAAATTAAGCCTCTAGAGTCTGCCTAGCAAATCCTATCTTGTAAGCAAAGCTGCTACTGAATAAAACATAGCACAGGATGGGAAGGAGAAAGGATTTGCTCTGCCTTTTTTTTTTTTTTTTTTCCCCTCCTTCCTTCCCCTTCCTGCATTAATTTCTCCTCTCTCTTTCCAGCTATGCCCAGTATCTCCCAGGCTCCTGAAACTATCTCGCGCACCCGAGCCAGCACAGCCCGGTTTGTCTGCAAGGCAGAGGGCGAGCCGGCCCCGACCATTCACTGGCTGAAGAACGGCGAGGCCATCCTCTCCAATGGGCGAGTGAAGGTCCAGAGCAGTGGGAGTCTCGTGATCAATCAGATCGGGCTGGAGGATGCTGGCTACTATCAGTGCGTGGCTGAGAACAGCCTGGGCATGGCTTGTGCCACTGCCAAGCTCTCGGTGATTGTGCGGGAGGGTTTACCCAGCGCTCCCAAAAGGGTGTCTGCTGTGTCCCTCTCCAGCACCACAGTCCTTGTGTCCTGGGAGCGTCCAGAGTACAACAGCGAGCAGATCATTGGCTTCTCATTACATTACCAGCGGGCTGTGGGTAGGTGTTACCTGCCTGTGCAACAAGGCTGCAGCTGTTGGGGGCGTGATGATAAGGAGGAAAGCGTGTGTGCCCCTGGTGCTGGGCAGAGAAGGCCCTTCCAAAAACAGGAGGAGGTCTGCCCTGCGCTTAGTATTGTGCTTTTCACAACTGCTGGTGTTCCTGCATCCTGTTCTTGTCGTGATCTCAGCAGGGCCATACTTGAGGTGAAGAACTGGGTGTGACAGGCTGGATAGTTCAGGCTCCTGTAGCTTGGTGTTTGCAACACCTCGCATACTCCTGTTTCTGTTCCAAGAGAGTTGGAAGAGTTTGATGCATCCAGACGGTTTGGAAACAATCCAGGAAACAATCTCCTAAGTTGTGTTTTCTCCCCTTTCTGGAAGCTCAGTTCTTGTGGCAGAGTAGGGCTCCTTCTGCGGAAACTAGATTCCGGCTACTGAAGGAAGCCAGGGCTGTCTAGCTTTGCATACCCATTTCTCTGCATTTGACTCCTGGCACCCTCCCTCTGCATGGCCCCCCACCGCAGCAGAGCTTAGACACATGGAGAAGTCATTGCAGGTACGAGTCGCAGGGCATCTGCTAGACCACAGGAACTCTTGAATTTCTTTCCCAGCTGGTGGCAAGTGTGGGGGAATTCCAGTTAGTTTAACCCCTTTCATTGCGGGTAGAAGAATTTTCCAAATTCCCTTGGATGCAGTGTGTGCCGGCGCCTGTGGCTTAGCAGGCATGCACTAACTTGCTGGTCTGCAGTAGCATGTCCATATGGCTGTTTGGTGTATTCTAGTGGGACCAGGCACTAGAAACTTATTTCCATTCTTTATTTTTTCCTGACACTTTGATTTTATATGCAAAGTTTATGGTATTAATGAAGCTATTAAGCAGCTGCATTGTGTCCAGAGATGGTCACTGCATTATCCACACTCTGAATCTGAAGTGAGGCACTTGGGTCTCTTGGGGTCTGGCTTCCAGAGTAGCCAGGAAGCCAATACTCTTGTTGAGCTCCTCTGAAAACCAATCTGATAACTTCAGCTGCCTTGGGATGGATTACGGAGGTTGAGTCAAAGGGGAGATGTCCAAATTTAGGCATTGAATATCGCTACCCAAAGAGTTCACGTAAGAGATGGGATTTTCGCAGATGCTGTGGTAACTGAGAGAGGATATAGTGATTTTGCAGGTGGTCACTGCAGACCGTGTGAATGAAGTGATTTTGCAGGGAGTGTTTTGGCAGTTCACTGACCTGCTGATCAGTGTTTCCTTGGCTCTAGGAACAGATAATGTGGAGTACCAGTTTGCCGTCAATAACGATACCACTGAGCTGCAAGTCAAGGACCTAGAACCCAATACCAACTATGTCTTCTATGTGGTCGCGTATTCTCAGCTTGGAGCAAGCCGGACATCCTCTTCTATAATCGTTCAGACCTTGGAGGATGGTGCGTTGCCTTAGATGGGTACTGGTGTCTGAAAAATGTTCTTTTCCTGTTTCATGATGTATGTTGAATATGCCGTGTAGAACAGTATCAGCAGCTACTAGAAAACCTGTACTTGCTGCTCCTGCGGCTTCTTGCCATAAGCCCCCTTTTTTTTTTTTCTTTTCTTTTTTTTCCGTAAGTGTATAGCAGAACCTTAGAAAACGAAAAAGTCACCCTGGTGATGAAGAGCGTGAAGATGACCTTGCTGAGACTGGGGCACAGTCACATCCTGCAGGAACTGCAGTTAGCTTCCCCAGGCTTTCACCTAGCTAATGGGATGTTGCTCCAGACTTGACTCTGGACCAGACTTGATCTGAACTCAGAGAAAAGATGTCTATTGCAATTTGTAGGCGTGGGATCAAGCTTAAAGTTGAGTCCCTCAAGAGTCAGTAGTTTGTGTTTATTTTACCTTTTATCATGTAGCGTTTTGTGAGCAGTGCAGGCAGGGCGCCTGAAGGACAGCTGCCCAACAGCGGAGGACACGTACAGGGCACAACAAACTTCGGGACAGTGGTCCAAAGAGATGGTTTTGGCAGCCTCATGTGGGCCCCTGCTATGCTGCAGGATGTATTATGTGCTTCTAATATTCCTGACGTAGTGACCTGCGTGGTCTCTTGTGTATGTGTCTGAAGCCTGAAAAGCTGGTTTGAAAGCATGAAAGCTGCCTGCAGCACAGATCTGTGACTCTTGAGGGAACAGGGATTCCCAGGCTGAGGCCTGAATCTGTGAGCCGTTTCTTTTAGTGTCTCCTCTGCGTTATACTGTACTGCAGGCCGATTAGCCGGTCTGTGCTGAAGTGCCCAGTTTATAGCGGACACAAGGTCACTTTTTAAGTATTGTCAGACAATTCTTCAAAGACTTTGGCATTCTCAAGTCAAGCAGAGAATTGTTGTTCAAGTGCAGGGGCCGTGAGGGTAGGAGAAGGGTGAGCTGTTCGGGCTGTTTCGTGAACTGGGACAGTAGCGGATCCTGGTTTGCACTGGATTTGTCCTGTGTCCTGACCACTCCTCTCCTCACCACAATGACTCCAGTTCTCTGTGACTGTTGAATTTGATGGAGTTGACTAGCAGTTTCAAGACGTAGTTTACTCCCTAAGGGGAGGTCAGACACTTATATTTTGCTCCCCTAGAGAGTAGGTTAGTAGCATATGTGAGGTGTGCTGTGGCCACTAGGTTTTAATCTGGCCTGCTCAAGCTGAGCAGCCTGTTTTCCTGCCTCTGCAGAAGCCTCGCTGATGCCCTGAGCTGTTGAAACATTGTGGGACATTGGTTCCCCTTGTAACAGCTTCTCCAGTGGCTGGGGGCAGGGCCAGAAGAGCTGGCAGAGATGTGCTCAAGCCTTGCCCCGGTCTTTATTGACTTCCCATTGTTGCTTCTACCCAGTTCCGAGCGCTGCCCCTCAGCTCTCCCTGTCGAGCATGACTCCTGGTGACATCCGTGTGACATGGCTGCCTCCTCCTCCGGAGCTGAGTAATGGCAAGATAACGAAGTACAAGATCGACTACTGCACCCTCAAGGAAGGTGAGGGAAACACCATTTGGAGGGAACTGATGTTTTCTGCTCTGGCATTGTCAACAGCATGTTGTGTTGAGAGGAAGAGGTGCAAGGCTGAAAACAGAGACCCCTTTTCACCTATGGCAGGAGAATGGCCCTTCCTTAGTCTGGTTCTGCTGTTGGTGGTCACAGAAGTGCTGGTCCCTCCTTTGGCAGGAGTTGACCTTTTCCTGTGGTTGTGGATTGAGCCTATGCTGATGCTTGTGTGTTTGTGCTACTCCATGAATGCCTATCCCACAGGGACAACCTTGTGATGCCCCCTGTACTGTGTTTGGTGGGGGAAGAGCTTGATGCTGATGAGAAGGAAGGGCAAATACATTAGACTCCTTTAAAATGGAATCTAATCAAGGTGATCCTTGTGTAAAGCAAGAAAGTATCCTGGCAAGGCTGTGTTGCTCTGTTGCTGATTTTTATCTGGTTTTATTTATGTTGTTAGACCCTCTAAGAAGCCTCCAGCAGGGATGATAATGTTTCCCTGTGCTGAATGCAGTCATTTCAATTCCATGTGTGCTCGCTTTGCAAATCCTTCTGGGTATTCACTCTTAAAACCATCAAAGCTCTACAGCTTATCACTTCCCAGGCTCGCGCGTCTTACTAAGAGAAGGATGGGGAACATGAGGAAGCGCTGGACATGTTCCCATGCGTTTGATCTGGATTAGTATTCTGCACTGTGACTTCTGGTTCTTGTTTTCTCACCTTATGACTGCATGTGGCTCTATGGCACCATAAAACTACGGAAACTTTTGCAGTCCAGAGACTGAATACTCAGCAGTTCAGTGTTACATAGCAGGGGCAGCACTTTCAGCTGAGCTCACGCTGCATGAAGTACAAAGCAAGACCTCTGCGTTCATGGTACAGTGATACAAATCTCCAGCAAGACTGACCATATCTGTTACAGAGAAAATCTTAGGCCATTCTCAGTTTAAATTTGCTGTTACCTCCCTTATGAGCATGGGTGGGCTGAAAAGGGAGCAATAAAACCATAGTCTGGCTTAGGTGAAAGTGTGAATTTTGCAGAAAGCAGGGCTGCTGGACAGTTCTGGTTCAAATTAAGGTGAGAATTTAAATGCAGAGATGAGAAGCACTGGAATCTGCCATCGGCTGTGCTCCTGTTCTGCAATCATGTCATCAGCAAGGTTTCTGACAGCTCCCCTTCCAGGCAGGCTTGGTGCTAAAGGCATCCTGCAGTTTTGAAAATGAAGAAAGGGATTGTCAGTCAGGGTATCTGTTTTGCCCCATTTGTAGTTCTCGCTTTTCCTGGTGGCACGAGCTTGCGTGGGGCAAAGCCAAGCCAGCCCAGGGCCTGTGGACCACAGGGGGTTGCTGGACTTTGTGTGGCTGCTTGGGCGTATTTCACTTGGACTGGGACAAACATGTTTTCCCTGATGTTACCTTGGTTCCAGCAGATCAGGTCACCTCCATTGAAGTGGGCGGAAATGAGACACAAATCACTCTCTACTCGCTGCATCCCAACAAAGTGTACAAAGTGCGCATTGCAGCCAGCACCAGCATGGGCTATGGGGCCCCTTCGGAATGGACCCAGCATCGGACTCCTGACAGGGACAACCAGACGCATGGTAAGAAGCTGGCTGTTGCCTGAGATTCAGGGAGGGAGGTGCAGGACCTGAGCCTGGGTTGGAGATAATTTGCTTTCATGAGGGAATTGTAACCATTGCTTTTTGTTAGACCAGATACCCACCATTAGTTTTCTGTTCAGCTGCCCCTGTTTGTCTTGCTGCTTGCCTGGGTGATGGGTCGTTTCTCCCAGGTGATGCTGCTGGAAGGCCATAAGCCCTAAAAAAAAAAAAAAAAAAAAAAAACCCCTAACGTTTGGGAGTGGATAGACAATTCTGTGTTACAGCGTTTGGGAGTGGAGAGACAATTCTGACAAACAGAGCTGAACCAACCTAGCCTCAGGCAGTGGTTAAAGACAGCAGCGACTCCGAAGACATTGAGAATCTGCCACTGTGGCTTCACGGTTGTTTTTGCTCTGTTGCCCAGTTGGTGGGGCCATGGGAGAGCATCACCTTTCTGTCAGACTGCAGAGAGGTCCTGTTTGCAGGACGATCTCTCCTCGCACCCCTCCCTCACTGCCAGGGACAGGGAGAATGCAGTAGAGCCGGGAAACAGAGATAAATGGCTGAATAAATGGAGATAAATGCCTCTTATTTTGTTCTTCTAGTTCCGTTTGCCCCAACAGAATTAAAAGTCCGAGCGAAGATGGAGTCCCTCCTGATATCATGGCAACCCCCAGCCAACCATGCCCAGATATCAGGCTACAAACTCTACTACCGGGAAGTGGGCACGGAGGAGTCCAGTGATGAAAGCCCTTTGGATGGCGCTGAAGATGAGAGCTGGGACGTAGGGCCCATAAAACTAAAGAAGAAAGTGAAGCAGTACGAACTGACTCGACTAGGTTAGCTGGTTACATCCCCTCCTTAACAGTGGGCAAGGAAACCCAAAGTCTGTTCTTTGCATCGTGTAGCAGTTCCAGGACAGACTTCCAAGAGGCTTGGCTGCAGCTGGGGTTGGACCAGGACGGTGTGAGCTGAGCATCCTTCCTGCACCTTTTTAAGAGCACCCAAAACCATTTCCAGAGTGGGGCTAATAGGGCATGTTCTTAGGAGAGTGTAAAAGGAGGAAATTCTTCAAGGCGGCCTAGCAGGGATTGTATTTTTACCTGAGAACTTCTAATACAGTACTTAGTACTTATAAGTACTAATGTAACAACTTAGTATTACTAAATACCAATAAGTGATTTGAATCAATTAGAATATTGTATTGTGTCAGTATGAGAGTGCTTAGATTAAAATCTCTAGTCAGGACAAGGATCTCTCCTTGCCTGTGTATTTCTAAGCAGATTTCTGTAATTTGGGTACTATTTGAAAAATCTCCCCATTAAAATGCAGTGAGAGGTTAATTCACAGCCTACTGATTTTGGGTCTGTGATCTCCTCCACCTAAGGGAAAAGGGCAGAAGAGAGTGAGTGTCCACGGCTGGAGAACAAGTTTGTATCACAGTCAGGTCCACCTGCTGGCTAAGGTGCATTTGGTGTTTCCTGTAAACAATTAGACAAATGCTAAGGTGCATTTGGTGTTTCCTGTAAGGAGTTATGTTTTTAACATACAGCACATATATTATGCATGGCATTAAGTTTGGTGTGCAGCACCTGGAAAGACCGTTTGCATCATCACTGAGTAGGTTTCCAACTCTCAAGTCATGTTGCAGCCATCCCGCTATTGAGAGGGTGTTAACAGTTATGAGTTTCTCTGAAGAATTTAGGTCTGTAATTACTGCGCTGAGGAAACCACATGTGAACATCATCACGTGCTGCGCTAACCACTGGCAAATCAGTTAGCAGAGGGACTCGGGAGTGGGCTGAATTGATTCCAAATGCTCTGGCACAGTGACGCGGAGAAGACTGCTTGTTCTTCTGTAATTACTTCCTTAAATTTGGGCATCCGTCAAGACATGATGGTTTCCTTACGATCTGGCTGGTGTGTATCAGCTATCATTGTGTCAGGAAGAGAGTCTCGGGTTTCTTCCAGCCATGGATGTTCTCTTTTCTCCCCCTTGCTCTGTTGAATGACATGCTATGACATGCTTCTGCTTGCGTACAGTGAAGGAAGGGGTCAGGAATCTGGCTGTGCTGCGGAAAGCGGGAAGTCTGGACATGAAACAAGAGGAAGAGTGGTTGGGATTTAGAAGAGTTTACATTTGTGGAAGGGAATTCCCAGCACAGGTGCTTGCATCTGTGTAGCGGTCTTGTAGGCAGGGTGGGTTGGAATCTCAGAGAAGATTGGTAGACTAACATGGTAGACTAACATCTGCCGGCGCTGTGGCACTCGGCGGATGGGAAAGCAGCTGAGTGGGTTTCCCAGCTCATGGATGTCTGCCTGTGAATCATGGCGATGGAAACTTCTTTTAAAGTATAAGAAAACTATTTCTTGGGAATATCTATTGATGTCAGGGTAAGGGGGTTGTGCATGGTGAAAGGTGCTCTCTCATGGGAGAGTGAGATTTGCCCAGGATGGGCACTGGAGGGCTGTTGCAGCTGAAACTACAAATTGGGTCAAGAGATTGAAGAGATAAGGTGTCAGGAAATCCCAGGAGGCGGCACTGGGAATAGAAGGCTGTAGCCCAGACCTGGTTGCATACCATGTCACTGCAAACAAGGTCTCAATCTCCCCCTTGGACATGCTGTACTGTTGCAGCACAAACAGTCGCTAAAGGCAGCTTGGTCTCTACGTCTCTGCACGCTGCCCCTTCTCTTGACTTGGTTTGGGGTGCAGCTTGCGAGACAAAACTCTGGTCCCACTGCTTGTTCCTGGGGAACATGACTTACACTTCCTGATTTTTTTTTTCTTTTTTTCCTGTTTTTTTTTTTTTCCAGGAGCCCACCAGGCAACAGGGGAAGGCCTTCTAAAGAGAGAGCCCCTTCTGGGGCTCAGACAGGGCTGGATGGGTATGCAGAAAGCAGCTTTGCACACAGCTCCTGAGCACACAGTTGCTCTTTACTTACAGCAACAGTGCAACTGTTACACCACTAACGAGCCCTGCACCCATTTCCCTGCCTTAGTTTCCCCAGGACATCAGGGTGTGTGTTAGGCTGCAGTGAGGGCCCATAGGCTCGTCCAGTGTCAGTTTCTTGTTTCGTCTTGCACTGGCTCGTTCTGCTGTTAAATGGTACCAGCTTTGTCTATCACCTCTTCTCTGTCCTGCAGACATCTTCTTCCTCAACCTTCTCCTTACCCTTAACATCTGGCTTCTTGATTTTGCCTTTGGTAATGTCCCAGCTCTCTCTATTCGAGCTGTCTGAAATAGGAGAAGACTTTTTCTCCCATGCTGTTGCTAACCTCTAGAGCATATGTTGTTTCTCCTTGACGAAAAGTCATTAGTGAAATTACTAATGACACTTCTTGTATCTAGTCTGGAAGTAATGTGCTGAAACCTTGTCAGAGAGGTGGGTGGCTGTTCAAAGGCACATAAGAAATGCAGCAATTTCATGATCCCATGACATCAAAAGGAAGCTGTCCTGAATCACCGTGAGTGCTTATCCCTGAGAAGTTCTCATTGACTTCCATCTGTGTTCTAGCAATTAGTCTCTGAAATGGGGTGCAACTACCAGGGCCATAATTTACATGAAAAATAAACAGTAAGGAGCTGATCCTGTCCTCCACGTTCACATGAAGGAAGACATGCTTCTGGGAGTGGCTCCTTGGAGATCTGGGTATTTTCCCACTTACGGGAAAGTATGGCATCTGGCCTGCATGAACACCTTGAAAACTGAGTGAAACAACATATTTAGTATATTGGCTATATTACACAGTCATCCAGATTAGTGATTTGAAATGATCTGGACTAGATTATTCTGCTTATATTTAATGTATGATGGAATGCAATGAAATACATCTGTTTTCATGCTGCCTACTAGCTTCTTGTCAGCTTGATGGAACTTTGTCTGCATATTCTAAGAACTTGAACATCTGGGCCTGTATATAAAAAGTGGAGCCAAACCTCTGACAGAGAAATCCAAAGTTCCTTTATTTTCAGAATATGTGTCGCTTGATCGTGTGGCAGAGCTGCTGCGGCTTCATGTGCAAGTGGCCACCGTATTGGTCCTACTTCAGATAACCTATACATGCTGAAAATTGCCTGTACATCCAGGGCCCACCAGTTTTCTGATAGAAACGTTGTTAACTGCGTCTTGGGAATTTAGTCTGCTTGCTGATTCCTAGAGACTGGGCTGTGCTGGATGGTACAAGGTGCAAATGAGGGCTACTTGTCTGGGAGATTCTTGTGCATCCTTAAAGCATCCTGCACTTAACGACAGCCAGAGGCTACACTGGATAGTCTTCTGATCTCATCCAGACACGTCACATGTAAATGCTGAATGCCCACACCCAAGCCGTGAGAGCTGCTGTGTGCTTTCAGTATTGAGAATCTGGCTGAGGAACATGGCCTTTCCTGTGGGTGACAGTTCAAGCGAGGTTTCAACCTGGCTGGGATGTACTGCAGAGAGCTTTCAGCTCAGTGTCTGGGGCCAGCCTCTTGCTGCTCTGTGGAGATGGAGGACTTGTCCTTTCCTTCCCTTCGTTCTCTAACTCAGGCCGACCACAGCTGCAGCACATCTGCAAGCACTTCCTCCCTGCTTGGATCACATCATCCGCAACGCGCTCCCGTCCCAGTGAAGTCTGGCCAAATGCTCAGGCAGGAGCCTGGAGTGTGTGTGCTGGTGACAGACAGGCTGTGGGGCGCTCTGTTCCACCAAACCCGTGGACCCAGCCACAGGGAAGTTGAGCATGTTTTGGCCTCTTCCCCCTTGTGTGGGTTTGAGGAGTTTTCCTGCGGTTGGAGCGTAACAATACGGATCAGCAAGCCTGTTCCTGCAGCAGGACGGCATCCAGGCTGCCTTGGTGGTAGACAAAACTGTTTGCTTTTGGGATTCTTTCAGGGAGAAAAATGTGGCTGAACTGTTTTTATATTCTGAGCGTGAACATGTGTTGTGGAGCAGCGAGAGCCTTTGGTAATTGGTACCATTAGCCTCTGGGAGCATAATCAGTGCAGTAATAATAAAATTGGCATCAATAAGAAAGGCATTGTGCTGCTTACGTTGTCTGGCAAAGGGAGCAATGATCTATCAGGGCAGGGAAGGAACAGGCACGTCCCAAATTAACAAGCTTCATCAACACATTGCAGCCAAGGCAACCAAAGACAGTCTGGACTGCTCTCCCTGAGCTTCTGAACGGGCTGGCTGCCAAAGAGAGAAACTGGCGACTCTCTTATTTGAGAACTTTGGGTCTCCCAAATTGTTTCCTCCGTTAAACATCTCCATGAAAAGAAGACTCGGACGTTCCTTGACACAATAGAGGAGTGTTTCAGCTGATGAAAGGCAGGAAGAAAGAGGGCAGTGAGTTTTGAAACAGCCAGAGCACTGCTAGGGAACAGGGTGCCCTGTCCTGCAGCTCTGTTTGGGTGAAAGTGTGATGTTTCCCGGAGAGTGCATGGCTGTCTGATGTGAAGGGTGTGTACTGAGGATCCTCCAGTTTCTGGTGTGGGATTTGTGTGCACTCTTGCTTTTCTAATTGCAAGTGAAGAACCTCTCTTTGCTATGGAGGCAAAATAGCGAAAGCTCCCGGTGACTTAAATAACAGGGGATGTAAGGACTTGCTGGAAGAGAGAGCCTCACAACAACGAATAAATCAGAAATCCCTTTGGATATGAGAGGTGCTGCATCGTTTTGGAGAGAGGAGAGGATGTTGTCACTCAACAACAGAAAACAATGAAGTGTGTCCACTTGCATGGGGGAGAGAGAGGAGTCACTGTGCATAGGTTTCGTTAGTAGTCTAAGGAGTAGAAAGATCAGATGCTGAGATGATGTTCCACAGGCTGTGATGCTGATTTGCCCAAAGCTACCGAGGGTCCATTTGCTACTGCTAAGTTTCAGCCCCTGTAAAAGGGGAGGACAGACCTAGGGAGTAGTTCTGAGGGTGAACAAGCCAGCGTTTGAGTGGGAGAAGTGGAAGGGAAGGACCTGATAAATTTTAACAAATGCAGCTCTGTTAAAGGAGCTGTCTTGGATGGTGGGAAAAACTGGTTGGATCTAAGAAAAGGTGCCTAGATGGACTGTGTGATAACATTCCCCCCCGCTCCCACCCCAAACCACCAACAACAGACAAACCCTGGTTGTTTTTTTTTTTCTAGTTCCTGGGAAACTCTATGAGGTGAAGCTGGTGGCATTCAATAAGCATGAAGATGGCTATGCAGCGGTTTGGAAGGGCAAAACAGAAAAGGCACCTGTGACAGCAGTAGGTGAGAAATGCCTTTCATTTGTTGTTCGTCGCTTCTGTTTGGTGGTGTGGCTTCAAAGGAAGGCTAAAATTAAAGTTACAGAGGAAGGACTTCGAGAGAGACATTACCAAAATGGGGTAGATCCCAATATGAGGGCACTCACTCCCTGTGACACTGTAAATCGCTTTGGAGGAATTAACTTGGGAAGGAGGGAAAGGAGCAGAATATCCCCATCTTGTCCTGAGTTTGGATAGGCTTCACCATGTCCTCTCTGGCCCTATTAGTGGCTCAAGGATGGTCTTGGAAATAGCCAAATAACCTGGGTTTCATCTGTGACACTATAAAGACCCCAGGACACAAATTAGCGGTGTTTCTCACAGCATTATAAAGAAGTTAAAGCTCTGAAGACCCAGGCTCCATTCCCAGCTCTGCCAGTCTGTTGTGGGACGGTGAACAGTCTTGGCCCTTCCTTACCCTGGTATGGGCCTGTTGAGTGTGTAACTTTGAAACTGGCCTTTGCCTCACAGTAGTACACCGCCAGCCTGGTGTGTGGATCTTCATAACACACACGGATCCCACAGATGAGGAAAAGCGTGCTCTTCAGACCACTGCATGCACTGAAGGGTTAAGGTGTCCAAGCTTAACCTGGAGGCCTGTGTATTTGTGCAAGCTTCATAATCTAGGCCAGTTTTCTTCCTTGTTTTCTGTGTCTGACAGCTGTCCCTTGCCTTCCTGTGTCATTTACGTCTCCACGTCTCTCTTCTTTCTGTGGTGCAGATCCTCCAGTACAGAAGGGTCCACCACTGCCTCCGGTCCAAGTCTATGCAGAGTCCAACAGTTCAACTTCCATATGGCTCAGGTGGAAGAAGCCCGACTTCACCACAGTCAAGATTGTCAACTACACCGTGCGCTTCAGCCCATGGGGCCTGAAAAACGCCTCTCTCGTCACATACTACACAAGGTAAAGTGGGACGCTAAGGGTTCATCTGCCATGTCAGGAATAGACACGAGATGGGAGAAACCTGCAGGGAAGGTCCAGTGCTGAGCAAGTTCCTGGGCATTTCACATGCTGCAAATGTCTGCCTTGGACTTTATCACAAATACATTCAGAGCTGCTAAACTGTGGCACTGGGACTTCCACAGAGGGAGTTGTCCGTAACTTAAATGCCAAAGGGTCATTTACTGACTGGTCTCTGCCTCTTTTCTGCTCTGACTGGATTGTACATGCCTGTTTCCTTGTTAATAATGAAGCCAGATGCAGCTATGGCCAGTCTCAAAACATTCATGATTTGTGAGATGGTCCTCACAAGATTGATGGAAGAATTGCAAGAGTCTAAGCAGTAATAATAATTTGGGCATATATTTTAAATCTGACTTCCCATGCCGGTCTTCAGCCTGTAATTGGGCTGTGTTTTCAGGCTTTTCTCTGCAAGCACATCATAAATGGTCCTACTTTGCTATGTAACTGGGAGCTGAGTGTTCTTAACATTCACACGACTGCATTCACGTGGAGCTTTAAGTGAAACATCAAATACAGTAAGAGTTAAAATAATCTCTTACGGTGCTCCTGGTAAGGTGCCAAGGTGTCAGTGGGTGGGAGAACCTGCTAGTGTTCACGGCCTTGTGCACGGCATCCTCTTTTGGCAGCTCGGATGAAGACATTCTCATTAGTGGGTTGAAGCCCTACACCAGGTACGAGTTTGCTGTGCAGTCCAATGGTGTTGGCATCGATGGGCCCTTTGGCAGCGTGGTGGAGCGGTTCCCCCTTCCAGATCGTGAGGATTTATGAGGATTGAATCCTGATTTCTCCTGGCTTTCCCTAAATTTCTGTCAGACCTCTCTAACTTGGCCCTGAATGGTGCGGCGATCTCTAACTACCTTCAAGTTCAAGTTTATGTGTACATAAAAGCTGAGAGCCCCTGTGGGTCCCAGTGAGTCTCCCAAGCCCGTTGAAGGAGTGCCGCTTTGTAAGCGGAGAAGAGCATGTAAAGAGAAATGGGGGCAACGATTTCTGTACTACAGAGTTCCCTCTGGGTTCCTTCAGAGAAATACTGCTCACTAGAGAGAGTTGATGGTGTTGTTTAAAACAGAGTCCTCCCCAGTGCTGAATATCTCTGTCAAAACGAGCGTGCCTTGCCCAGCCCTGGCTCTCCAGTAGGACCTCCACCTCTTAGCTTCAGGCCTGACGAGGGCTGGGAGGCAGAGATGATCCTGGGAGCTGCAGCGGTTTAGCTCCTTAATCTCTAGCAGCTTTTCCTGTATTTGGCTTCACAGAACAGCGGTGATTGGCGTTGAAGGTGTCACGTGCCCTACTTTCCACAGCTGGGGCCTGGGGCTGGTCGCAGTATAAGCAGGGCTTTGGGGGAGATGGAGAAGAAAGCAACAAGGAGGGTGTGTACACTAGGAACGTCCTCTCAAAGATGAACAATGTTGTACAACATCAAACTGAGCTACATGGCTTCTCCGGCACTGTTGTGCTTCCCTTGGCTGGTTGGCCAAGGTGCACCTGTTAACTCTTGTACTGGGCTCAGCACACTCCCCCCTCCACAGCGTGTTTGGGTGGGATGTCCAGTCACCCAGGTCACTCCTCATTTCATGCTTGCAAACATGGCTGTGGCACCGCTGAAAAGGGTTCACAGCAGGCAGAGCAGTCATTGTGCCCTGCAGGTCGAGTGCTTTCCTCCTCGTTTCTGCTGTTCACACTGAGTCTTTACCTGTATCTGCCAGGTCCTTCAACTCCTCCTTCTGACCTGCGGCTGCACCCGCTCAACCCCTATGCTGTCCAGGTGCATTGGTGCCCCCCTGCTGAGCCCAACGGCATCATCGTGGAGTACCTCATCCTGTACAATGCCAACAACACGCAGCCCGATGACATGTGGACCTTGCTAACACGTGAAGGTGAGCCTCCCAGGGGTGCTGTAACCCGAGCAAACACTTACCTGCAGTCTCCTCTAAACTCAAGTAAATGCTCCATGAGGTTATTTTCCTCCTGCCTTCTTCCCTGGATCTGTATCTCTGCCTACAGAGTCCTGGCTGGTCAGTCCTACTGGCTCAGCCCATGTGAATAAATTGCTCAGCACTGTGCTAATGTACCTTCTGACTGGCTCAGACAGCGCGACAAGCAAGATCTGTGTTGCCCGAGTGTAGCCAAAGTCCAGGAAAAGTCGGGCTTGCTGAAGAGAGAACACGGAGATGACTGTCTGAGAGGAGAGGTGGGGCTCATGCCAGTACCAGGTTTCCAGGCTCTCGCTCTCCCCTCTTTTGGGAAGAAGGGCACAGTATTATTAGAGGGGAAGGCAGCGTGAGGGTTTGCTGTTGACTCTAGGTCCAAGGTGCACCTCAGGTGTTAGAGACAGGGGAGACCTGTCTGAGAAGCTCTGTTTGAAGCAAACAGCCTTGGTGGCTCACCATGGGGGCAGCCACTCAAGGAATCGGGCTTAATGGGCCCCGACTCCTTGTAAATGGAATCATAGCCAAATTGGTCAAGCCTTTAAAGTGTGTTTTAATTAGCCATCAAAGTCAGTGTTTCTCTGGCTTTGATTTTTGCCTCCCTTTGAATGTATATTTGTATGTGCTCAAGGAGCTTGTGCTGCCAGCTTTCTTGTGGTTTGTGCTGGGCCTTGCTCCTGGTCATAGAGGAGAGGCCAGGAGCATAGCTGCTGCAAGACAGGAAATCATACATTTCTAGGGCTGAAACAGCCACTATCATCCTGCAAATGTCCTGTGGATACAGGCTACCAGCCAGTAATTCCTAGGAGAACATATGCCAGCAGCGCCACATGCAGCCTGTATCAGCTGTTTAAGCAGAAAATTCACTAACTTCTGAGAGGTGTATGAATTCTCTCTTAGAGCACATGGCATGAAATCTGTCACTTCTGGGGATCCAACAGAATTCCACTGCTGCTTTGCTGCAACCCTCTGAATAAACTTGAAACTGCTTGTATTATTCCTCTTTTGACTTGCTTTTGATCAGGAAATATCTTCAGCACTGAAGTGCATGGCCTGGAAAGTGATACCAGATACTTCTTTAAGATGGGAGCAAAGACAGTCGTGGGATCCGGGCCCTATTCAAATGTTAAGGATGTGCACACCCTCCGAGAGAAGCTGTCTGGTACGAGTTTCCCCTTTGTCCTGGGGTGGGAGGTGAGTCGTGTTGCTGAAGACTGCAGGTTGTCAGCAGCAGCACTTCTCTGAATGTGCCACCGAACTGCCTCACAGCAGAGTCCTCACGTGTGCAGCTCCACGAGCCTCAAGCAGCTCGAGGACCTGTCCCACAGCAGACCTTGATCTGTCTTCCCTCCCTCAAGCCCTACGGAAAGGCACATGCAACCTGCACCTTGCTGCCTTTCTGTTAGGCCTGTGTCGCATCAAGTTAGTGAATGTACGTAGATGCCAGTATGCTTCAAGCTGCTTTAAACGGTCACTGTCAAGCCATTTTTTCTCTTTATGATTCTGAGTGTATTAAATACCTGCCAAAGTGGGGAAGGCAGACCTCAGTTTCCCAAGCTTTTAGAGAATAGGTTTTTTTCATCTGTACTTTTCTCCCCGCTTCATTGCGTGTCTATACAGCATCACCCATTACTTCTAGTAAAGCTAATGCTTCTCTGAACGTGAGACGCTTTTTGCCTTTTTCCTGCTATCAGTTGAAATGACACATCTGTCCTTTCCCCACTAGATGTTCTGGATATCCACTCTGTCACAGGAATCATTGTGGGAGTCTGCCTGGGACTGCTCTGCATACTCTTCTGCATGTGCGCCAGCTTCCGCAACAGCAAGCAGAGGTAGGCATCGCTTTGCCTTTGCAGGAGGTAAAGGAGGTTGATGTGGAAGGAGATGAAATGCATTGAGCTTCTTTCCCACGTTCGGTCGGCCTGTTTGACACCGCAGTTGAGTGGAAGGCTGTTTAGGATCCAAAATATGACATCAGTTAATACAAAGATTGAGTCTTGGAAGTGCTAGCCATCAAAGGAAAATATTTTAGTCAATATAGTCTTTTTGCTGATTTTACTTATTTTCCCAATAGTTTCCCTTTAATTTGCGTTATTATACAAATATTTTTTGCAGGGAGTTTAAAAAAAAAATAAAAATGTTACCTATGTGTGTTTGTGCGGGCAGTGTTTGGCTTCTGCGGTTGGACAGCTCTGACGACGTTAGGAAAGAGTTTGTTAACTTCCAGTTAGAAAAATGATGGAAGACTTTGACAGATTGGTTTGAGTACGGTTGGACTCAGCCCAAAGCCCTCTGCTTTCTCAGGGATCTGAATCCAGCCACAAGTGTTTGGAAAGATAACGACTGGAAATCACCCTAATTTCTGAGAAAAGCATTGAGCTGGTGGCAAATCCCAGGTGCAAGCAACTTCTGAAGTCTCATCCTGGAGTGGCCCCCAAACCCTCCTGTCCTATTACTTCTCTTATGTGTAAAGCAGAGATAACAAGATGGGCACAACTCCCCGTGGACAGGGATTAGTGAGCTCCATCCTGGGGACTTGCGTTGTCCTTTGTCTCTGTGACCTGCCGGTGCGGGGAGGGCTGTGATGTCTGCCTCCAGCAGTGTGCTTTGTGTCAGCTCTGGGATTAAGCGAAAGGAGATGGAGAAATGCACCTGGGGAGAGGCTACTGCGTTGAGAGCTGCAACAGTAGGATGTGGGTAGACGATCTCCTTCCTCAGGAGTGTCAGGGCTGGGACTTGGTCCCCGGCTCTTCCACAAGGACAGACTGAGCGGTCCTGAGTGGATTGTCTTTTCTGGCAGTCCCATGGCTGGCGGGGTGGAGGGTTGTGAGGCTCACCGGAGATGCCAAGTCTGCCAACTCTTCCTTATATTCTTTCAGGGAGGCCCTGCCAGGCCTGGACTCCCAAGCATCCAGCAGCCACACTTACTACCACCGGGGCAGGCAAGGGGTGGCAGCTCCCAGTGCCACCTCAGACTCTCACGAGCTGGAGTCCCTCATGTCCCCGCTCCCAGAGGATGCACCTGTGCCCCTTGGGGACATCACAGAGCTGACAGAAGTGCACAGTCTCATCCACACCAGCCTCCCTGAGGACGCCATCCATGGGAAGAGGAAGGTAATGACCTAAGCACACGGTGTCTGAACTCCTGTGCCAGGCAGGAGCCTTTGCTTGGTGTGTCACTGCTGGGAAGCCAGGGTCTGATCCTGTCCTGGCTCTGGAAAGCGCTGGTAGCCTTGGCTATAGGCTGCTGCTGGACAGCCATGCAGTTCCCTCTGACTGTAAGATGGAGTAGCTCAGTCTTGGCTGTCAGATCTACGTTTGGGACCCCTGTGCTGCCCCCCTCCCCTCTTCACCCCTTGTCCCCAAGCAAGCAGCTACCAAACTTAATTGCCGCAGAAAGTTGCGTTCTTCCTGTTGCTGTGGCATAAGGATCGTGTGAGAAAGTGGCTGCCGTCTGGCTCAGAGAACTAAACAGCCTGGGGAAGAGCATCTGAGGAAAACAGCCATGTGCTGCCTGTTAATTAGTGGTCCAGTCTCTGCTCCTACCCTGGCACAGTCCCAGTACTTACAGTGAGTCCTAGAATTATCCATACAGGTATTTCTCCTCATAAAAAAACCTCCAAGCGCTGTGCTGTTTTGGGAGGTTGAGCAAGGGAGACCTCCTCCCACCCAGCTGAGATCCTGTGGAGTTGGTGCAAGGGTGCTACCGTATCTTCAGGGTACTTGGGGGACTGGTCATGGTGGAGGGTGAAATAGCAACACGTCTCCAGTCCAGACATCAGCTCTGTGATGGCCAGCTGGATGTTCTGCTTTCCAGGATACTCACTTTTTGGGGGTAAAAGGTGCTTTGTCCATAAATAGTGTAATATACCCTTGAAGATGAAGAGGTGAAACTGTGTTTTATTTGTGGACTTCATTCTTTGAAGTAGTCTTTTTCTGCCCTTCTTGATTTGCCTGACATTGCGTTGTCTTTCACTCCTTGCCCGTTCTGTCTCAAGCTTGCCTGAAACATTTCATTCCATTAGGGAACCTTTAATTGGCCTAATTTAGTTAATCTGTTTATGTCTCTCTTTGTAACCCAGGGAGAGCATGTAAAGTAATTAGGAGGTTCAGTAAAACAAATGCATTGTGAGCGCATGGGATTTCATGTTTGCATCAACGATACCTTCCCACCAGTGACAAGTGAGCATATGTTCAGGTTACCCCACTACTTCCACAGGTGCTACAGCCCAGTCCCGAGAGACCGGTCCTCGCTGCTAGTAGTGATGCAGGTGCAGCCCCTTGGAAATGCTGCATTTTCACCTGCCCTTAATAGTCCTGTGGGCTGAACCTGTTCTCAAGGCCATCCCCGACTGCTGGGTCAGACCAGTGCTCAGCTGAAGAAGATGGTTTGCAGCATAGGCAGCCCACGTGCTCATGTGGTAGCATCCACACTGCATCCATAGATTTCAGCGGAATGTGGCTGCCTTTCTGGATCCAAGCCAAAGAGTGTGAGGAATTTCCTACAGCCCTTTCTGTTAAACAAGGAACAAACGTTTCCAGTGAGGGTGATTTACCCTGCAAACAGGTCGGAGAGGGGGGAATTTCCCTCCCCTGGGAGGCCTTTCTAGGGGAAGCATATCCAGATCTCTCTCCCAAAGCAGGGATCTTGTCTTTGTGTCTGCGGAGCAAGGGCTGGAGAGGGCAGCGTCAAGGCCTGGCTGCTCAGGGCTTAGCCTGAGAGCTTGGGGCCCCCAGCGTCTGTCGCTGAGGCCGGCAGTGGCAGGCAGCAGGGTTATCTTCGGAGATCAGAGCTTCAGCAGAGAGGTGATGCTGGCTGTAGTTTCTCTGTCTCCCCAGGAGCTTTGCAGCCTTGTCCTCGGTTTGGCATTCACCAGCCAGAATCCCTCAGCAGCCCTGTACAGGCGAAAGGAGACCCCCGCAGAGGGGCAGAGCAGGGAACGAGCCTTGGGGGAATATAGAGGAGAGGGCATGAGACCGGCTCCAGAAAGAGGGCCGCGCCGGCCCCAGCGCTGTGAGCACAATGCTCAGATGCTCACAAACATCTGGGCTGGGTGAGGGCCACCTGCCTTGCCTTTCTTCTGTGGCAGGGGAGGCAGGACATGGGAGAGCAGGGTGAGTGTCACCTGCAGCCGGTTCCCCTGCAGCCAGTCTCCAGGGGATGGCAGTAAATACGGCCATGAGGGGAGAGGGGGGACTGCTAACTTCCCAGGTGAGTTCACCTCTTACCAGTTTTTCTCCATAAACCTGATTTCCAGTCTCCTCCCTGGCTAATGTCTAAGTTGATGTGATGGAGAAGGATATAGTCTATCAGTCTAATTGGAGGGGGAAGGGCTACTGGGAGTTAAATGCACTGAGGAGTTTTGCCAGCAGAATAAAGGGCTTGTTTTTTGATCGCTAAAAGTAGGAAAGCAAGGATCACTGAGGAGCAGCTGCACACAGCCACCGGGAGAGCAGCGTGGTCACCCGTGCTGCCCAGCGAGGACAGGAGAGCGCAGAATGGCTGCCGGGAGCAACAGGCTGTTGTTGCTGGGAGCGGGCACTGGAGGGAGATGTGCTCCCATGCAGGAAGCCTGGTGCTCTCGGATGCCCCATTCCAGCTGGAAGTGCCACCTGCGCTGCCTCAAGCCCGAGCCAGCGCTGAGCACCAGGCTGCAGGCAGGCTCAGTAAGCCAGGCCTGGAAAGCCGGGCCAGAGACAGGCGGCAGTTCTGCCAGCGGGAGTGGCATAGGGTGCCTGCAGGTAGGGTGCAGGATGGGAGGCGTCAGAGGATGGCTTAATTAACCTTAGCAAAGTCATTAGATGTATCAGTGCGTAAGTGTCTTCCTCTCTAAACTGCAGATAATGCCAGTGCGCTACAGGAGGAATCACTTACTGACAGAAATACCTAACTGCCAGTAGATACTCTGGGTCATTTCCCATCCTAGGTAGAAGGAACCCTATAGACTCTGCGAGGCGCTGGGAAATGCTGTTTTGTACTGATTGCACATTGGCTTGCAACGTCCTATGGGAAAGTGAAACGGCTCTCGTTCTGGCCCTCCCCCCCCCCCCCCCTCCCCTCCCCCCCCAAATTAGCAGCAAACCAGCAGAATGGCCAAAACCATCTTTAGGCTGGAGTAGTCAGGAGGCCACGTGTCCCAAAGTGTGTGGTGCAAGTGACCTGCCTGGGTGGCTGGAGAGTTAGTCGGGTCTCATGAGCACAGCTGGACTGGGACAGGCATGCCTGGTCCCACAACAGATGCACATCAGACTTGTGTGCAGCTCCCTGTTCATAGACAAAAAGCTTCTAGCCCAGGCCCAAGCGTGTGTTGCAGAGTCCCTGGGTTCTCCTGTGCAAATGGCTTCTTCCTGTGGCCGTTTCTGCTAGCCTGCCAGAAGCAGCTGGCGGACCTGTGTGGAGCCGAGTGCCCCCAGGAGCTTTGTACCCCATAGTGGCCAGCTGCCTGTTTTGTCTTCTCTTCTCTTTTCTCATGCTGTGAGTGTTGTTGAGGCTGTGAAAACCCATAGCAAGGAATGCAGTGGAGCCACAGGAAAGAGCAAATGCTTGTGAAGGAAGCTCTTGGCAAGGACAGGCTGCCCAGGTGCTCTGGATCTGGTACTAGCGCTTGCAGTCCTAGTCAGTAAAGAAAGGGAGTGAGAAGTGTCTCTAGGTTCCCTTATTTAACAGCGTATCGTGCACTACAGCGCTCATAATGTCAGCTGGGGCAAACCCTTAGTCTGAGGCTGCTGCCACGGTTGGGCAGGCTGATGTAGCTGTGACGCTGCCAAACTGGCAGGCGCAAGCCTGTGTGACCTTGTCTGCCTGCCTGCTAGGCCCTCCGTCTTCGAGGTACTCTCCTGAAACCCGTGCGGTGTCGGCTGGGTAGCACCTGCCATTAACAGCAGCAGTGATAGCTGCTCCCCTGCTTGCAGGCTTTTCACATACCAGCTTGTTACTTTGCATTTAGTGGATCTGTCTTAATTGTTTATATCCTTGTGGCAGCCTGAGGCCCCAGGGGAGATCGGAGGCTCAATGTTGATAGGAGATGTACAGACACAAAGAAGAGACCGTCCCTGTGCCTCAAACAGTCATAGCGAGTGAATATCGCTTCACAGGGGTGAAGACTGAAGACCAGTGAGACTGAGGGTAGGAAGTTTCCCACAGTGCTATTTGAACCGACTTGTGCAAAGCATCCTAGGGAAGGGCTTCGAGAAGTTCCCTAGTCCTCCTTCAAGTCAAGCTCCCCAGTTCCTTTGAATGCAGGACAGTGATTCCTCTTATAATGGAATGGAAGGACACAGTCTTTCTTTCCTCCATCTCCCCCTCAGTCCCTTGATGAGGGACATGCCTCCTTCATACCACTTCATGTGGCCAAGAACCTAAACCCCTCTCTCCTGATCTCTTGGCATGGTATGGGTACAGGTAAATTCCCAGCACTGTGGCTTCAGAAGGAGAAAGGGGGAAAATCCCATGTCTTGGGCTTGGTAGTGTCCTGGGATGCTGGGACAGTTGCTGGACAGCCCACAGGAGACATCCGGCCACCCTGCCCCTGGCTGCAGAAGAGCAAGGTCCTACTGCAGCTGAGCCATCAGCGTGGGGCCCCTCTGTATGGCTGACAGCTCCATTAGGCAGAAGTGAACTTGGCCATTTAGTGGGCCCTTTTCCTTCCCTCTGTGCATTTCCCAGTGGTCACACGCAAGGATTTGTAAATGCACTGACAAGTGATTTTTTCTCTTCTTGCTCTCTGCCCCTTCCAGGTGACCCCCAGAGTGTGATGCCCTCAGTAGCAGGGGTTATAAATAACACTGTCATGCACGAGCTGTGGTGATGCAGCTCTGTTGTTTCCCCTGACAGATGGACTGGGGACGATAAGATGGCTCGGCTCCAGACATCTCTGCCTCTGCTGCTTTTGGGCCAAGCAATTTGGGGGGTGGGGGGAATGTTAAAAAGCATCTGCTTTCCATGGAAGACTTCAGCTTTTCACTGAATGAAGCCAAACCCAAGCATTTCGGCTTGGAAATATTTGCTGTTTTGCTTCTCGAGAGCTGGAGCCTTGACGGCTTGCTGTCCCGCTCTGTCCCTATGGGCCTCCTTCCCTCCGGGACTGCCTTTGCCGTGAAGCGTCCCTGTGACTCAGAGAGCAAAAGCTGTAATTTGTCAGGGAACTTGGATCTTCCCAGTTGTTTTTCCTCTTGTTGAAATTTTTCTGCCTGGAAAAAGAAGTCGCAATGTTTTCTCAAAAGTCTAAGATGAGAGCTGTGCTCCTGTGACAGCTAACAGAGATTCTCCTTTATCTGGTGTGGCAGAGATCTGTGTTATGTTGCATCTTGTTTTGAGGCCCAGCTGCTGGCTAGGATGCCTGTATGTTTGCGTGACATGGAGCTCTCCCACTTCCATAGGCTGCTGTGGTACTGCTGGGTAATCGATGCCTTCTCCCCACTATGTCATCCTTAAAAGCTGGGCACATCCGAAATGTCCCCAGCCTTGTTTTGCACAAGATCTCAAGCTAGTTTGAATCACCATCCTCATAAAACAAGGAAGGTTTCAAGATCAGCATTTCCTGCATGTTCATTCTCAGCTTGTATATTTGCATGAAATCATTAGTTGTCACTGAGAAGGTAACATGATCTAGGCTCATTTTTACCAGTCAGAGCTTCTATAAAAAGGTTCAAATGAAAAGGCTTGTTTGCTTTGATAAGGGTTTAGCTGTAATGGAAACGCCTTTTATTGGAAGATGCTTTTATTATTTTTCATTCTTGTGTTTGCAGTGAACTCAAAAAGGGATTTTTTTCCTCTTTAAATTAGTATTAGACTGACACTCCTTGCCCTCATTCTTCTACTGTAAAAAACCAAAATTTCCTTGTCTTCCCTCAGCCATTCACTAGTCCCTCTCAAGTAGAAAGAAATAGCATCATTTTTTACACCAAGAGATACTGCTTGAAAAAACAGAGCTTTCAGGAACACAAGAAGTTCTTCAGGTCTCTGGTGAAAACAGGCCTAGAGTTAATTGCAGCTGCCCAACCTCAGAGACTAAGCCCCAAGAGGGATTTTTTTCCCCCCCTAAACATAATGTGCTTGAATAACATGTGGGATATAGGCCATGTTTTGTGGCTGGTGGCTTTTTTTGGTTGTTTGTTGAAAGTTGCAAACTGGTACAAAACAAGTTTGTTCTTCATTGCAGCCAATTTCAGCCAGAGCTGAACAGGCTGTTCCCAGAGTCATCAAAACCTATGTAAACATGGCAGATTGACATTTCCGCTAACAGATGGTCCATTGGGGATTGCAGTAGAGCTGCCTGTTTCTTTCCACGTTTTTTGGTATTCACAAGATGCCTGCAAGAAGGTTTTCAAGTTTGCTTTGTGTATGTGTATGCGTGTGATGCTCAGATCTCTCTGATGGCAAATATGCATGTAAGCATCTATAATAGGACACACACATTTGTGTGCATGTTTGTGTAGGTTCAACTCTGAAATTTCAAAGCAGTATTTGCTTAGTAACGTATGTTCCTTGGAAAAGGCACACAAGGCATCAGTCAGTGATGTATCTGCAGAAAGCCTTTCAGATGGCAGCAGAAGCAAATTGAACACATTCCTTGAGTACTTGTATTCAGTGATATTCCTTAATGCGAGTCACGTGTGATCGTGTGGTTGCTTTCTTGCTATTAAAATTTAGTTTAATGATTGTCCACCTAGAAGGGGAGCAATTAGGGCATGCTCTTGGTTCAGCGTATATTGTTGAGGATTGCAAAGAGAGGAATGGCCAAGTGGCTGCCTCCAGCACCTGCTTCTAAAGTGAACGCTTTATAGCCACAGCTCCGGGCTTGGAAGTCCCTGCTCTGTAGAGCTGTCACATAGGTGAGGCCCTTTACTACTTGGTCTCTTGAGGTTTGATCATCCTGAGGCAGTGGCAGAAGTGGCTTTGACTTCTGGTTGGCAGTGGGATGGTGCTCTGTTTCCTGCAAGGTGGTAAGCTTCGTTGGTGCTTGAAGTCAGGGTGGACAGAGAGAGCTCAGGAGAGGCTCGGGCCCCCCTTCAGTGTGCACACGAGTGCTTCAGTGTGCCTTCTGCCAGCACCGACAGCATGAGGTAGCATTTGCTTCTCGCTAAATAGCTGACTTTGGAATGCCTGGCTTACATACGACATCTGGTCCCGCATTTCTGCCTAATTTCCAGCCAGATGGGTAGAGGCACAAGGAGGTCAAATGACTCACACAAGGTCAGGCTGATGTCAGAAATCTTGCCATCACCACTGGACTAGTGCTACATCCACTGCGGTTGGAATAGATCAGGCCTGTGAAAGTAGCAGCCACGGATGTGGAGCAGAAACCTGGGCTTTCTCTGCCTGACACTGAGCAATAGGTGGTTGGTGGGTTTGCATAGACATGGCTCACATCTTCGCCCTACATTGTCATCGTGCTCACAGGACCAGTATTCTGTACACACACACACACACACACACACACGTGCATGTGCACACTCACTTGTGTAGGGTCAGGATTTTCTCTTCACTTGAACCTTGCATTCTCCTCTCACTTCTACCCAGGCAACACGTAACATCTGTGGAAGAGTATTGGCTTATGTCTCCCTCAAATCTGAGTGTGTGTGCATATATTTATGTATATGTTTGAGTCAGTAGCAAGGCTGAGCTCAGGTAAATGCAAGACAGCCCAGTAAAATCAAACCTTGGAAAGAAAATACTTTTCTGCCTGTGAACTAATAGTCTGAGCTGTTAAATAACTTCAGCTCTTAAAGGCACACATTTCCCATACACAGAGGTGTGCATTCAACAGTTTATTGCAAGGGGAAGCTGAGAGAACCCAGAACAAATTGCGTTCAGCCCATATAATTTAATTAGATCTACAAACAAGGTAACACTGGTTGCCCAGGGGATTTAAAGCTGAACTAAGAATTGCTTGGTGGTCTGTTACAAAAAAATAAAATAAGGCCCCAAATTTTGTGCCTCTGTATTGATGGGGAGTACCAGAGTGTTTACCCAGGCCCTAGCTTAGAGCAGGAAAACCAGCTGCACCGCAGAGTGAGCAGTTTAGCCTTGTCCTCGACTCTTAACTTGAGTGCATGTGCCAGTACGCACAGGTGAGGGTCCTTCATGCCGCAGAGCGTTGCTTGTGCCAAAGCAGTACTGCAGGCGTTCAACTCCGGAAGATTTCCACCATCCCTGTTCCTTCCCAGCTTTGCAGTATTGCAAAGTATTTGCAGCTTTGCAGCTTTGCAGGCTCATAGCACTTTGGGTTTGTTTGCAGCTTTGCAAGGAGTTGATTTCAGTGGTTATTTAAGTGAGGTTTTGTGCCATAATATACCTGTTGGCCTCAGAATTTGTGAATCAGTGGAAAGCCCCTCATAACACCCGTTGTGAACTATCTGGCAACTTTTATCTACTTGCTCTGCCTCAGACCACGTAATGCAGAGCAATAACACCTCTTGTCATGGGGCCACCGTACTAGTCCATTGTAGCAAGCATTTTTATTTTGATGCCATTGGAAATGTGTTTTCTACATTTAACTTAGGTCTTCTAACACTGTGGTATTTTCTCCAGCTTCCATTTTCCTTTTTCAAGCTGCCTCTTACTTCAGGTTCATGAGGATAAGAAGCTGTGTCTGATAACTGGGTCTTTTCTCCTCCCTCTTTGCTTCTGCAGTCTTCATGGAATAAATCGGCTAACCAGCCCTGGACAAACAACATAGCCAGATACGGAGACACTATCACAAAAGAGCCTCTCTCTGCTGTGAACGGATCACTGAAGCTCCAGTCCAGTGCAGGACAGAAGCTTTTGTTACAAGCTCTGGTTTATGATGCTGTTATGGTGGGTGTCTTTCGTGGTTTATTGGCTTGTGTACCCTGATGCATTTTTTCATTTATTGCCCCATCTCCCTTTCTTCTTTTTGCAGCACAGTAGAAAGTATTTTCTTCTCTGAGCTAGTTTCAGTTGGCTGATTACAGGCTTTATTTTTTCCTGGGCGCAGTGCTGTATGCCAGCAAGACTGGCAGCATTTGAGTAAAAGCTGTCTGTTTTTTCCAGGCATCCTGCAAAGGCTCTCCCCTGGTCCCCCGCTCGTGACTTCAGCCAGTCTTTGAGGGCTCTGCTGTGCACTGTGTTCTTTTGGCGATGGTCAATCGGAGCTGGTTACCTTGGTTGTGGCGTATGCTGTGGCGGTCCTGGTTCCCGAGGAACCAGAGCCAGGCACCAGCAGTCTGGTTTGGATCTTCTCTGGCCGTGCAGCAAGCAGCCTGCCAAATGACTTAGCAGCTGCAGTGCTCCGCACAGGCTCATTAAGATCTATAGTGTGCTTGCCTGAAGAAGGAATTGCATTTTTGCCTATAAAAGGAGTCAAAGATCAAGGGTTGATTTAAACTCCTTCCCCAGATAGGGTAGAGCAATTTCCACTGCACTTGTCGTCTTTATGTGGGTGTACAGACGGGGAGGAAATCCCACTTTCTGATAGTCCTTCATTGGAATAAATACAGGCTCCCATGTTTGAGAGAGTTTGTGCAAGGATCATGATACCTGTGCCACAGTTTCACCAAAGCAAGCTGATATCCACTCAGATAGGCAGATCTTCTGGTATGCAGTCAGGTTATTGCTTTAAGAAGTTCACCCCTCTTCACCCTACCCCCAACAAATACTTCTAAGTAACCTATCTATGTTTCCTTCCTAGATAGTAGTGTGAAAATCAATTATACACAGGATGTAATTAACATTGTGGATAGAGTTAAGACAATGTTTTACAACCCAATTACAGGGCACCATTTACAGCACAGCTTACGCATCAGAGTTTGTCAACAAAAGGAGAAAAGTGTTAAAATATGTAAATGACACACAAAGTTGGTTTCAACAGAAAGCACAAATTATACATAGGATGTCTCACTTCCATACTTTGGATCGTCTCCTTACTATTAACAGCCAGCCCAGAACTTGAGCAGCGATTACCTAAAGACTTCTTTGTGAGCTTCCAAAATAATATACCTGTTAAATTATCAAATGATAATCTAGTAGAATAACCTGCTTGCTAGCAAACTTTTGAGACCAGTAGCCTGGACTCTGCTTAAAACACTGCACAGGAGAATTGATTTTTTTTTTTTTCTCCTGAATTGAAGTACTTGACTTTTTTACACAGACTTTTGTAAGCCATGACAAGAGGTATAACAAAGAAACATTTTGTGATATGTAGCCAAGATTAAACCAGAAAGGTGAAGAGGGCCATAGTATCTTAGCTGTGGATCTTTAGCCTAAGCTGTCTGAGAAACCTGCCAGATTTTTAGAGTGCTGCCCACCCACCCTTTAGAAATCGAGAAAGAGTGGTGATTTTTGAAAATTTTGGTCTTTCACGCCAGTGGGGGAGGCTTGGAGGAATGGCTGCTCCAGCCTGCCAAGAAACCTTGGGCAAATCAATTCACTCCCTTGAGACTTGCTTTTCCAAATGTAAAATAGGAATAATGAACCTAAGATGCTTCTTAAGACTTTAGCCCTGAGAAACACATCAAGATAGGCTTAATAAAGGCACGTGTACATCCCACCACACTGTAGGATTAAGGAGGAACGCATACTTCACTCCTTGGTTGGGTTGCAGTCACAATTATCTGACTTTCCTTTCCTTTACTTCCCCACCCCATTTGATAACAGAATGAAGCAAAGAAAAGCCACCCCCCAGCCCGCCTCCATCAAGTGGAAGCAGAAGTCATCGTCCATTCTGATTTTTCAGCCTCTGATAGAGACTGCGACTCTCAGCTTCACACACTGGGCAGTGAAGAAATGGAAACCGAGGACCAAGAACCTGAAGAGTTTCCCTCCAGTGACCCGGCTCTTCCCAGCTCTCCCAGTAAGCAGCAAGATGCTGGCCAACCGTTGATGGACTGCAAGGGCAATTCTGAGGTTCAGACCCGGGGTGGACCATTAAGTACTGACAGAAAGACTAACAAAACAGAGGCAGTTTGCATCCATGAGCTCACCAATGGCTTCCACAGGCACGGAGAAAGTCTACCTTCAATGAAGAGCGGAGATTCAGACTCTATCCAGGAAGGCAGGGGGGATGTACAACCAGTCAAGTGCCAGTCGCTTTCCATGGCCCCGGAGGATGCCCCCCTGTGTAGTAACTCTGGTTTAACCAGTTCATCCTCAGCATCTGAGAACATGACATATGTCCTCAATCATTAAAAGAGTAAACTAATCTGATTTTGATCATGGGAGAGCTAGAAGCACTAATAAAGGCCTGTCTCTGTGAGGTACTGCATGCCCTCGACTTACTGAGTCCAGCAGGAGCTAGAAAGGCACAGCTTCTCACCAGAACAGGATTTGGACCTGTCAGCTGTACATATGAATCTACCTACTGATTTCTTGAAGGTAATAAGAGCCCCATCTTCTTCTCACTGAACCTAACGAGTAATTTGGTGTTTGTGGAAGCAGGATTTTGAGCCATCTGCTAAAGGCTGATGTGAAACCATGGCTAGAACAGAGCCTTCTGCATTAGACTGGTGCAGTCACTTCCCTGTCGTCCTCAATGGCGACTGGCAAGAGGTCTTTTAATGCTGAAAAGAGGCAGAGGACACTGAGTGGTCCTTCTCAGCTCTCTCTTCACCATGGAGGGCCTTGGCGTCACCTATTGCTTTGCAGCATTGGGATGAATTTTGTCAAATGAGGAGGTGGAAACCAACACAAACAGACGTTCAGTGAGCTGTAACCAGTAGCCTTTTCTGCCCTCCCGTGCTTAAAATGATTATAAGGCTCTCTTTGTACGCTACCACAATAACTATTACTAGCAGGCTGATGTAGTAGCCTTTTATTACACACTCTACGAGTGCCTCTAACAACCTGTACTATATAGAACCTTCTCCAGTGTCTGGGTCATTTCACCAACCTGGACTTTGTTTTACGTAGGTTCTTGTACCTAATATTTTAGGTACACATCTGTCCTTTTAATGTACAACATGTATTTTTATTTCCTTGGAGCATCTTTATATTATTTAATTTTATAAAGTGGAGTAGTGTGTGGTATAGAGTAGCATTTTTACTACTTCTCTCTTTCTTTTTTTTTTTTCCCTCCCTAACAACACAACTACCTCATGTCTGTTGGAGAAAAAAAAAAAAAAAGCAGTAGATCTACTTTTTTGTTATAGTCCATTATAGGTTTTAACTTATTCTTATACTGCCTTTTTCTAAAGAATATGTTTGCACTGGTTGTTGACTATTTTTTAATGAATAGTACTGTGGATCTGATGTCTCTCTCGCTTTGTTTCTTTGTAAGGTATTGCCGTACGGTAATTCTACAGCTGGAGAGTTGGGCTGTGTTTCTCTGTAGGACTATGTGTTTTATAGGAGCTGGCCAAAGGAGAGTATTTCAGCTGGTGGGATGTTGATCGATCTTTAAGAAGCCTATACTAGTGAAGAGAATAAAGAACTGAGAATTGCAAAAGTAACTTGTGATCTTGGGGAACGTCTATTCCTTTTTCTGTGCTCAAGTGGACATGCCTCAGATGATTCTGATTTCCAGAGAGTAGCCCTCAGCCTCTTGGAAGCGGTGGATTTGTGAAGGCTTTGGATGCACCAGTGATAATTTCTAGCACTTCTGAGAGTCCTGGCCAAAGCATGTTTATTAAAGAGGCACCACAGAGTTTAAAAACTATAATCAGATCCTAGCTCTTGTACCCCTAGGGTTTGAGTTTTGTTACAGAGTACATTTAAAAATTATCCAGTTGCTGACAATTTTCGTTGCTGACACTGTTTGCTTACTGCTGACAAGTCTATCAGCTTGTTCTTCTGGTACTGGGTGAACGTTTTGCTACTCGTCCCTAGCCTGTCTCTACCCTGTTCCAGGCTTGCAGAGTTTGACTGCAAATGCCACAGATTGGATCAGCTCCTCAGGGAGGATTGGGATCTGTAATTCTGTTCTGCTCATTGGGTATTTGATAAACATTCTTCCTTTGGAGATCTGGCTATCTGTTTGTTAAAGAGCAAGGGGAAAGATGCACAGCTCCCTCTTTTTCTGCTGAAATTCCCCAAAGGCTGTGCGGGTAGCTTTGTGCTGATCTGTGAAAGGCTTCGGACTTCTTTTGTATTGAGATCTGGACTGAGATACTACTCTTTGCAGCAATGAGAACCTGCTCCACCAGCAGCCCTGTACCTGCTTCTGTTGTGCAGAGCCGTGTCACGGTCTGGCCTATGTTCAGAGCTGAGCTGGGCCAGCCTGTGTCCTTTCAGTCGTCCATCTGACCCTGTTGGCTCCAGCTGTTCAGAAGATGAGTAACTCCAAGCTGCAATGTACCCAGTTCGGAAGGATGTCAAAGCTTTCGCCTTCCCCCATCCTACGACTTCTCCTCCCAGCATGACACACCGTCCAGTAAATGGCTGTATTTCCACTTGTCCCACTCGCTCCGTTGCTCCAGATGGTGCTTGGTACCCTGAGGAGTCTTGGAAATGCTTTCCATGCTCTGAAGCACCATGACTCTGAAAGGCTTTAGCAGAGAGATTTGAAATTGGTGCCTGTGAGCAGGCTAGGCAAGAGTTAGAGCATGTGTGCTACCAGAGCAAGGAGCTAGAAAGGCAAGAAATTGTAACTGGGCAAAGGAAGTGCATAATTAACCTTCAGAACTCACTGCAACAAGACTTTGAAACTAACAACTCAGCAGGGTTACAGATAAGACAGCGAAGCGTTATTGCAGGCAATAAGGGCAATTCACAGTTATATGAGAGCGGATGCAATTGCTGAGGTATTAACCCTCCAGCTGGGAGTATCAGGCACCAGCTGCAGAGGATGGGGGGCGATTTCTGTAGCTGGACCTTGGTTTGCAGTTAGTCTTGGGGAAGAGTCCTTGCCTTTCCCGGTGACAGAACAGACCTTTTCTCTGTACAAACCAGACTGCCACTTCTGATGTGCAAAAAGGGAGAAGGACCCTTCTTTGAAAGGCCTACTCCAACGGAATTCCTGGTGACTTCCTTGCAACTCCAAAACCAAGTCACCTGCCTGTTCCCCCATGCAAAACCAGCGCGCGTAACAGTGTGCCAAAAGACTGCTTCTTGCATGTTCCTGAGTGATACAGACAGAGTAGCCTTGAGGCAGGAGAGCTCCCTGGATTGAACTTTTGGAACGAACACAGGGGTTGGAAACGTGCTAGTGGCCTCTGGGGAATAGTGGCAGGATCTTGGGGTACATCTTCTCTGGGCGTCATCTTGGGACGTACTCTGGAAAAGAGCAGCAAGCCAGTTGGTAGCTTTTGAAGGCTGAGCGTCTCTGCTCCTGGAGGGCAGCACAGGCAGGAGTTTGGGCAGAAGCGGACAGAACCGGGCTGCTCGAGCTCTCCTCCCAGCTCCCCGTCATGCCACTGTACTTGGGGCAGGTCATGTACCAGCTCTGAGCTTTCTGTCTGTACCACGAGGGTTTGTGGGGACAGAGGCTTCGCCCAGTGACGGGTTCAAACCGATTTAGGACTGTGTGCCACAGTTGCCAGGAACACTCCTTGGTACACACACCTGCCGCTTTCCCTGCACTGGCTTTAGAGATCCTGTAGCTGTTGTTGAGCCGCCTAAAAACTACGCCTGCCTGTCGCTGAAGCCAACGCAAGTGGGCGCAGTGTGGGATTGTTCACTTGGAGCACCTTAGGCTGATCCTGAAACCCCCAAGTTGGCTATGTGCTTTGAGAGGATGGGGGGAGATGCAGTGGAGTGCACACAGCCCTCTTTATGCTAGGATTTATTCAGGCAGAAAGCTGCACCACAAAAGTACTTTGTTTCCTCCTGTTGAGGCTTCTTCTGACCTTGCTCCACCCCAGTGGATTGTACCAGAGCTTGAAACTGGCAGCATTTGGACATCCAAGTACTGCAGAAGCAGTGGACTGATGTGCCAGACCTCAGCTGCATAAATCAGTTCCCTCAGAGCCAAGAGATCTCCACTGATGGACAGCAGCAAAAGCGTTCTGAAACCACTCGCTCTACGAGTGTCGGTGTCCATGCAAAATGCTTGGTGTTCCTCGTTTATCTCAACTGTACCCCAGATCCCCCCTATTTTGAACACGTGGGACTGTTCTAGTCTTAGCTAGTGGTGAGAAATGAATGGAAGAAGATAGGTAACACACATATCGTGTGAAACAACCAGTGCATATATTTTTTTATCATGAAATAAGTAGCTTAATTTCCCACAGACGCTCAAACTGTTGATACCTTTAATTACACATCATACTTAATATATGTTCCTACACATCAGGCTCCCTTCTCCCTTTTCCTCCTTTCAGTAACACTAAAGATTATTGCTGTTCAGCTTTTTGCTGGTGTATGTTGTTTTACATTGTTAAAATGTCAGATTTGTCTCACTGGCATAATTTTGTAGTATTAACGTTACCATTTGGCTACACAACTGTATATTTCCCATGCTGCTGTGAAAGTCACAATTCTAATTCTTTTATTTCTTTTAATTTCCTGTTACGTGAAACATATGACTCAGCTAAAAGTATCTTTTCAACTTTTTGTTGATTTCTTATTTAACAGACAGTAAAGTTCTGGTTTAAATAGCTGAAATGAGATAATTTATAACCTAGGTTTTGAGAACTGTGTTACATTACTAGCTAATAATTCTGAGATCAGTCCATGAAATATGCTCTGTAAGAAAACAACCATTTCAATAGAACGCTATATATGTTTTTTGAGCTCATAGAAATAGATCTTTTGAAGGGATCATTGTGTCTTTTCTAATCAATACCCTTGTTAGAAAAGAGGTATTTAGTCCAGCAGAAATCTATCATTTAGTTCTGTTATCATGTTCCCTTGCTAATATTTTAAAATTAAGTTTCATTTAATTTTGTACACAACGCATAAGGAAGCGTAACCAGAACTTGATCTTGTTTTAAGACTGTGTCTGTATTTGGTTCCATGCTGTACTTAATTATAACTTTCTTTCTTAAGAGACTTTCTTACTCCACAAATATTCTTTAGTGTTAAAGTGTAAGAAGACATTGTCCTTATATTCCTTAACTAATGGATTATTAATAAAATATTTTAAAAAATGGTGGCGTTTTTCTCATGATTGCCTGTTACAGCTCATGTTCCAAGAGAAAGTTTTGTCATGGAAGGCTGATTCTGTAACAGTGCTTGGAGCAGCTGGACCTGGGGAAATAGGCTCTTATACGGTGGGCTGAACCTGCCCTTCCAAAATACAGATGAGATGGCAGAAGACGTGGGTTTGCTAGAGACGGGACTGCGCTGTGTTGCTGCAGGCTAGGTCAGCCTGGCTAGGACCGTGCCTCATGGTGTGAGGAGGACTGCAATTGCACTTCCTAATGTTTCAAATCCAGCCTAGTGCTTATCAGAGTAATTCAGTTCGGGATGGATCCGAACAAGACCTGGCAGCTGACAGATCCAGGGCTGCACAGTGGGATAATTCCAGTATTGGAGTGTATTACAAGGAGAGATGATTGCTTAGTTCTCATCATTTCTCTTCCTACTTGATGCAGGACTTTGGACACTCTTCTGAGCCAGCTGGTGCCTGTTACTGTAGCGGAGAGGGTAGACCCAGATGTACTGTAGCCCATGTCTGGTCTGGTCATTTGAGGTTGTATTGCAGTCAGACACCTACGTGGTGGGCAGCAGTGCTGGGAGCTGGACTGGGGCTTCATGCTTATGCCAGTTCAGTGCCTGAGCCTGCAACTGTGAGGGTTTGGAGCGGTGGATGCCTGCTTCCTTAGAGGTAGCTCTTCTGGGATCACAGGCGTGGGCAGAGATCGCGTTCATTAGGCATCTCTTGAGGCTTGCTCATTTCCCAATTGTTGAACTGTTGCCTGTAAAAGAAGAAATAATTGTCCAGTTTTGTACTTTATCTTGCTAGGGAATCTGATGTGAAAAATACGAAGCATCATCTAGCAGATGAATGGTGAGACTGCTCTTGGATGGTGTGCTGAGCTAAACACTCGGTGGCTTGCATCCAGCTAGACTGGCAGGAGGATGTTTGGCAGTGCCCTGGGACACACTATTAACCTCCCATGCATCTCCCTTTCTTCCTAGGTTGCATTCCCTACTTGAGTAGATAGTTTCCATTATTGCTTTATGCTGCCAGGACTACAGGGCCATAAAATCTCATTTTATCTGCATTATAGAGGTAATAAATCTGCACTTAGTATAGTGTTCTTTGATAGTGGTTAAAGGGAACTCTGTCAGACTGTAACTCTGATGAGTCTTTCTCTTAGCGACAGGTAGCCCCATAAATGAGCAAGAAAGGACCTTTGGGGTGGGGGGGTGGGATGGGACTCTACAAGTCCCAGTTCCAGCTTTCAGTTCCCAGTGTGAGAGCGGAGAAGCCACCAGGAGGCTGCCGAGAGGGGACACAGCAGGGTGGCTGGAAAGGGGGCAATGCGCGGACTAAGAGAGCAGAGGGATGGACACAGCAGTTAGAAGGGGGCCGTGACTACGGAGAAGCGAAGATAAGAATGAGGCATTTGTTTGCATTTAATTCTCTTCCCAGCCTTTACCACCCTGGGCACTGTGCTACAATGCAGTTGGCAATATTACAACAGTCTTCCGTCTACTGTGGTGTCGGGTGTTAGGGAGTTCAGTAGGTGCCCGGTGCAGGGTCGTGCCCAGCAAGACTGCCTGAGTCGATGGGTTGTGATACAGCGAGGTCTGGCTGGGGAAGCTCAGCAAACCAGGGCTGGCCGTGGCGCATGGAAACACAGTCTCATGGGGAATTCTCCGACTTCTTCCTCTCCAGCAAAGCACTGGAGCAGCACAGTCAAACCTCTGTGTTGTCACCAGTCCAGTCCCCATCGGGCTGCACTGATCAGGAGCGTACTGATCATCGGGCTGTACAGCGAGGCGAGGGCAGAGCAAGCATTGGCCTGGCTGATACCAAGGCAGCCTCACCTGTCGAAGGGCAGTAACACCCCAGGGACGACCCTTTGCTGGCTAGGAGCCAGTTTAGATTTGCATCAGATGCTGCAGCCATAGCACACCCTGATGGGGCCAACCAAACTGTGCAGAGCTGTGGGCCGTGCCGCTGGGCTCTGGGATTCCCCTGTGATGCTGAACACCCCAAAACTGTGGGGTGAGGAACAGCAGGGGGGCTTGGAGCGGCTCAGGAGGAAAGATACTGTAAGATGAGAGTTTAAATCACCTTTGTTACGCTGCAGCATTTAGCCAGAACTGCAGGCACAGCCCCAGAGAGGCTGGTAGGTGGGCTGAGCGGCAGGTCACAGCAGCATCCGGCCTCAAGACAGTGCTGCCCTGTGGGGCTGAGGGGCCCTGTTGGCCCCTTCCTGGTTCCTGTGCGGCTCCTCTTCAGCCGCTGCTGGTGCCCAAAGCCACTTCCATCCCGCACTGGATGCTGCGCTGTGAGTAACCAATGTGTGACTGTGCTAGCAGTTATAAAACCTCTCCCATGCTCTCCAAACAACAACGTGCCTCCCCTCCCTCCCCCTTCCCCTGCGTTTTACAGCCGTGGCTGGGGAGAGAGGAGATCTGCCCAAGGACAGCAAGCCTTGTCCTTACCCCTTTGCAGTGACAAGAATTGCCCCAGTGTGCTCGTGGCCCAAGCCCTGTAACACCTCTCGGGAGTATCTAGGGTGCACAGAGCAGCTTTGAACATTTAACCCTGTTGGTTTTCTCTTGCTTTCAAGGGCATTTGAATCCAGACCAGCTGCTCACGAGCTGGCACTAGTTCCTCCCCCCTTGCTCCAGCACTCTCACCTGGCCTAGGAGGAGCTTGAACATGGGTTTGGTAACTGCTCGCCCAAAGCCCAGCTGGCAACTCAGATTTCAGGCAGACCTGGGTAATCGTTCCCCACGTGTTTCTGCGCAGGGTCAGTTCATCGCTTCAGGTGGTTGCTGGCACGGGAGCAGCCGAGCTTTAACAGAAGAGAAAATGCCGGAGGGGCTGTCAGGTAGCTGCTAGGAAGAGATTCATCTGGGCTTTCAAGTTACCTCATTTGCATGGCAGCTATGGGTGTGCTCCTGGGTTTCTCTGAGGCATCATTAGTGCTGACTCCACATGCTCATTTCCCTGTTGGCAAAACTGCTGGATCATTGGCACAGTTGTTTTCAATTAATGGAGAATATGTAGCTCTTCCTCAGCCAGGTAGCTAAGTACCAGGAGGGATTCACCTTGCCTCGAGCATGGTGAGGAGTGGTGGCCCTTGCCACCGTGGAGATGCACTTGTATCATTGTTATGCAGCCAGGGCTGCTCCCAGCCACGGCCTGAGAGCGGACAGTAAAGCGTATGCAGTCGGGGAAAGAGGCTTACGCTTTGCTGCCTGGCCAGCTTTGAGCTCGGTTCCCCAAGGTGGGCGCCTCAGCGGTTTGGGGCTGGTGTCTTTGATTCTGCAGAGGTCCTGTGCTTTAATTCCTGTTCTTATGAGGGCACCCACTGGGCATGCGGCTAATGTCTCCATCTTCTCTGAGGGCTTCTGGAGATAAAACCTAACTCCTTCACAAAGGTTATAGGAAATGGCTGCACAAGCGGGTGCAGGGAAGGTGATGGGGGTTGCAGTGGTGGGAATGGCTCTTCTCGGGGGGTGCCGAGGTCCCCCTGGCACCTCCTTCTCGGCCCGTTGGCATGGGCTGCTTTGGGAAAGGCTGGATTTTTGCTCCCCTCCCTGTAGCTCAGTGACCATTAAACAGATGCTAAAAACCAGGGCGTGTGTACTAAGTGCAAAGCTCCCAGGCTCTTAGCAGACAGGGAGACCACAATTACATACAGAATAATAAATGGAGTGAATTCAGTCAGGATAATCTCCCACCTCATTCCCTGAAACGAGTAATGGTGTCTTGGGGACCTGAGTTTTCAATTAATCGGTGTAAATCAGGAGCACTATTGGAGCTGGAGGAAATTCACTGGGCAAGGGGAGACCTCTGCGGTCTGCTCTCACCGATGACAACCTCATCGGGAGGGAGGACGGAGGGATGGACCCTGCACCGCTCTGCAGGGAAAGGGCTCAAAGCCCAGGACAGGCTAGGCACCGCCACTGTCACAACACTTCTGTTTACTTCCAATAAAAAAGCAACTTTTTGAAGCCTTCATGAGGAGCACAGAAAAACAGGAGTGCTTCAGATTCCTGCCCTAAAGTGGGTCTAAGAGGAGCCCCAAACCTGTATTTCTCTTTAAAAAAATCCCATGGCTTTTCATGAGAGTCCTATCATTTGGCAGGACCACACTTGTGAGTTTTGAAGGTGACACTGGCAATGTCAGTGGTGGTGTTTGCAAGATGTGGGCTGAACTGGATGGTGCCCTAGACACGTAGCTACCTCGCCCTGCTTCTGGGTCCTGTCCCTGCCACTCGAGCTGTCTTCCTTGCACAGGAAGCAAAAGCATCCAAAACCTGTGGTTGGTCCTTCCAGGGGGAAAGGAGCCCTGCAAAACACAGTGCTTCATTTCCCCAACCCTTGCTCCTTGCAGTTAATGGTTTCCATGAGCCTCCCTTGTGGCTGGCTGGGCTCAGAAGCTTGCTTGCCATGTTGGCGTCTTCTCGGGGAGTTTCCATGCGCCTGCAATGGCTGTGAGCATTATGGAAATGCACGCGGGGCCCCACAGCGCTAGCGGGAGCCAGGGAGACGGCTAAGGAACAGGAGCAAAGAGGTTGTGCCGAAAGGTCAGGGACAGCGCAGAAATTCAGATGTTACCAAGAGGCCGACGGAGCCTGTTCAGCCCAGAGCAAATTCTTCCCCTGCTGAAAGTAACCTCTTACGACTCGGCCCTCTGCTAAATGAGTAAACCTTTAATGTAGAGCAGATGTAGTGACGTCTTCTTTACTTGCTGGCTCAAATGCGTTCAGGTTACGCACCATCCAGGAGAGCAGCAAGCTGCTTGTCTTTACAAAGTGTTTTGACCAGATTACTGGTCAATGTTACAGGGTTAACATGGTCAACCTGGTCCATCAAACTATTTTTATTCTTGAAAAGAGAAATGAGTTAGGATCCACTCCCCGCCCCGGCAAATAAACAATGCAAAAGACTTTGAGCTATCATTAAAGAGGGGGAGATGCATTTTGCTGCTGCTGCTGTGGAGCTGTTTGTGGAGAGTGTAGGCCAAGGGATTGGGCAGCACAGTTGGAAGGCAGCAAAATACCGCATTGGCACGAAGGGCTTTAGGCTAAGAGCTGCGCAGGGATACATCATCCGCGTTTCACATCAACAGGGCAGACGCACTTATCTTGAGGCTGTGGCAGGACTTTAGAGTAGATACCACGTCTTTTCCCTTACTGGGTCCTTCTCTACTGGGTTGCTAATCGAATGAAGGTGCTCAAAGGTGAGCTGGTTGGCCCAACATGGATACGACCGACTTGGGTTAGCCACCTTGTGACGGCATTTAAAACAAGGAGCACTGAGCGCTGAGCCACCAATCTCTGCCCGGCCACCTTAGTCGCCTGCTAGGGTGGACGCAGACCGCGGCCTGTTCTCCACACCCGTCCGCTCTGCCTTTGCAGATTCGGGAATCCCACATGGTCACTGCTGCCTCTCCCTCTGCAATTCCTCCTCCTCACTTTCCGGAGAGCCCTGTTACCTGCCGGCGCGGTCCACCACCACAGGGAGTGTTTTTGTCTTCCAAACGAAAGTCTGAAAACTAAACGCTCGGTGGAACCAGCCGGAAAAACACTGGGAAGTCATCGGGAGTCGTTTTCTCTCTCTCTGTTGTGATTCGGTTCGTTTTAACGTTAGGGTTTTGGGTTCCGCGCGCGCGAAGCGCCGACGAGACGCAGCTGGCCCAGCGCCGCGGCTGAGGGACCGGGGCTCTGTCCCCACCTCTGCTGGGGACGGGGCTACCGCTGGGCACCCCGCTTTGGCTGCGAGCAGTAACGAGCTTTCCGGCAGGAGAGAGGACCTGGGTCCAGAGAAGCTGCCTTGTTATTAGGAGCGAAGGCCTGGCCCAGGCGGCCGGAAAACCCG